GGGCGCACGCTAGCAGACGCTAGCAGACGCTAGATCGGTACCTATGTGTACTTCCCTAGCCCTCGAGACGATGGTGGACGCTGGTAGACGCTGGCGAACGCTGGTAGACCCTGCCAGACGCTAAATCCACATCTAGACTTTCTTGGTCGCTGACGCTTGTAACGCTAGTGGACGCTATTGGTCGCTGGAGGTCGCTGCCGCAAAATGAAAACGCAGCCCAAATGCTCCAAAGATGTTCTTGAGCAGGACTTCATCCTTCAAGCGAGACGCACGCTGGGAACACAAAGAAGATCGTATGTGGCCTCCCTCAATGAAGTTGTTAAGAAGGTGGGTAGGTAGTGAAAGAGAGATCGTACCGGAGGGAATCTTCTAGAGAGGGAGAATTGTATTCAGTCAACACTTTCCACAACGCGATTATGTGTCTAAAAAACTGCTCTCCCGTCACGACAAGACAAAGTCATCGAATGTCATCGCCGAGCTCAAGGTCTACAATACTTATGTTACCCTGTAATAGCCAACTTCAGGTTGAATTACGCGCCTCTAGGTTTAGACTCCTAGTTCTTTAAATTCCATAGAACAACTCGGTCTTGTCAGTAAACCTCTGACTATTCCTTCAAGACCTTCCACAGATGTCCGAGGGGTTTACGTGCAGGCTTCATTTAATCACTCTATCACCGGAATGTACCGAAATCTATTCTTCATATAAGCTCCGCTTATGCTTGGTGTCTTTTCTGCTAATTTGGAAATAGTTCTCCCTATCACAGTTTACCTATTTCTACAACATTTAGGTGTATGAATCAGTGAAAATCAAGTAACGATTTGACAGGATATTCCGATTTTCCTGCTTGTTCCAAGCTCTTTTCCGCTACTGCACATGACCCTTTCGACGTCTGCGCACTTCTTACCGTATATCGTTCGAAGTTGTGTAATGAAGGCGATTCGTAGGTGGATACTCTGCTTTCATTTGAGCGCAAATTTCGGTAATACATTTCTTTTCTTCGAGTGCCTTCCGAAGTACTCCACATTGCCTGTAAAAAAGGTATCCAAAACAGGTAACCTTAGGAACGGCAGACAAAAAAAAGCAATGGAATGTCATGTGAGTAGATGTGGGAAGGATCTCGGTGAAGTTCGGAGGCAAACTCTCTTTATCTATTATCGTTAGTATTGGACTATCCAACACATATTTACACCTATTCATACGAAAATGTGGTGAGCGGAACACCCACAGGGCAAGACAACTAGCAGTTAGATCGCGTTCACACTTCGCCATCGCGCGATCGGATCGCTCGACTGGATCATGCGATCGTGAAGTATGCACACGCTGAAAAATTCAAAATGCTACGCAATGCTCCATTTTTTTTCTTGACTCTACCAGAACTGTGGAAGACATTCCATTTTCAAATAAGAGAAATAAAGAAAAGCTAACAAACATACTCGTAAGTCACCGTATAGATGAAATAGTAACTATGCAAATGTAGTACCGCGCTCGCCTCGATACACTTTGAAAAAAGGGGAAAGGAATACGAAATGCTTGAGCACATGATTTGTAGCCTTCTCTCAGCAAGCTGTGTCTTAAAAAAGGCCCAAGTGAAACCTGAAAGCTAACCGAAAACAGAAGCGCCAACTCCGAGGTGTTGCGTCGTATTGCGTCTCGTGGACTCGATAGATCGCTGTTCCATAAAGGATAAAAGGATAAAGTCTTCGCCGTTGATCAATCCCTTTGTGGGATGCGGCACGCATTCTACTTCCATTCAGAATCGTAGTGGCTTATTGAATGCGATGTGGCCTATACAATGACTTGCGGTGGCCAGCCGATGTACAAGTCAGTGTTTTATCCTCCCAGACGAATCTGGTACCAATTTACCGTCCCCGGAGGGTAGAAGGCTTGGTTGGCCTGGGCGGGTGTCGACCCGGGATTCGAACCCGGCGCCGCGCGAGTGGTAAGCGCGCCACTTGTCACTACACCACCTCCGCCTCACCGTACAAGGTTATGTTCCGGAAAACAGGGTGTATACAGTACCCCGGAAATTGCGCGTGAGGTTAAATGGGTCTTTCGTGGACCCACACAAATAGGCATAGAGTAGGATTGAATCACGAGATTGGGTAAAACAAGCCAGGGTACGGTAATCCAGACTGCGTTAGGAGACACCCAGTGCACGTGTTACCATGCAAATTATGCCCTCGCCGCACCCTAGCTGGGGTGGAAAGCGGGACTATCGCCCCTCTCGCTCCCTGTTCCCACCCCTGAGCATCTTGGGCTGATAATCTTTTTAACCAACCCGATTTGCCCAATACTGTGCGTTCACGGCCATCCACATCTATAATAAGTTCACGCGGAATTCTCCGGTGTACTGTACACACTGTTTTTTTTATGATTTCTATTTAATCATTGCATTGCTTTCTCCTCCTTTCCTTACTGAAGAGCACGGAAGGAGGATATTTATTCGTTTAGTTTCCGTCTAAGGGCACGTGCGAAACGGAAACTAAACTAACTTCCTTGTTCCCCCCCCCCACTCAAATAACATTTTTAACTAATTTATCCAGTTGTTTTTTCTATTGGGCGGGTGTCGACCTGGGATTCGAACCCGGCGCCGCGCGAGTGGTAAGCGCGCAACTTGTCACTACACCACCTCCGCCTCACCGTACAAGGTTATGTTCCGGAAAACAGGGTGTATACAGTACCCCGGAAATTGCGCGTGAGATTAAATGGGTCTTTCGTGGACCCACACAAATAGGCATAGAGTAGGATTGAATCACGAGATTGGGTAAAACAAGCCAGGGTACGGTAATCCAGACTGCGTTAGGAGACACCCAGTGCACGTGTTACCATGCAAATTATGCCCTCGCCGCACCTAGCTGGGGTGGAAAGCGGGACTATCGCCCCTCTCGCTCCCTGTTCCCACCCCTGAGCATCTTGGGCTGATAATCTTTTTAACTAAACCGATTTGCCCAATTCTGTGCGTTCACGGCCCTCCACATTTATAATAAGTTCACGCGGAATTCTCCGGTGTACTGTACACACTGTTTTTCTGTGGACTATTTCCTAAGTGACGTCGTATGCGCAGCAGGTGCAATATTAACCTCAGCGAACATGAGCCCATTTATCGTCGTAAAGTCGTTCACTGCAGGAAGTCAACTACAGGGACATGTGCCCAATTTTACGTAATTCGGTAGTTCCACTAAATTCTTCCGCACTACGGGACCACCTATGCGATCATTATTGACCGACAACAAATCATCCTACCTACTGTAACTGATTCGAGTAGCTCAAGTGGTGAAGAATAGCCGACCTTACCTTTCATTTAGCCTCAAAGCGGTGGGATCAAGCTCGTGGAAAATGTGGCCGAAACAACAAGTGACATCCACGCTTCCATCGGTATACTCACTTGTCTACAACAATGCTTGATCAAATGATTCAGAGTTTTAGAAAAATTTGGATTTTATTTAGTAATATAGGATAGCATAAAACAGGATATTGTCGAATAAGTACACTCCTTATCCCTGAGCCAGAGTAGGCGTGGCATTTGAACATGGCACGGAACTGGTTACTCGTGGAATATTCCAGTCTGGGACAACTGTCATCTTGTTCTCTGTTGGACAGAGACACGACAACAATTGTGTCAAGATGAAAATATCTCACCAGAAGCATAGACACCTTCAGGTTAAGTTGAAGCATGCGGCCACGCCTACCCGATCTCAGGGATTTCGAGTATACAAGTATGGAAGTCAATATTGCAAATGTGCCTATTCTGCCGAAAACGTCTGTAGCCATTTGCCCTATTTGGGACTTCAGACGCTTAGACATGAGGGGGATGCGGCTAGGGCTCAGGATGAATTTTTCGCCACTGATTCGATCCCTTCTGGGATACCATGTACTGTGGCTTGTACCATGACTTGTGGGGCCAGCCGATGTACAAGTCAGTGTTTTATCCTCCCAGACGAATCTGGTACCAATTTACCGTCCCCGGAGGTAGAAGGCTTGGTTGGCCTGGGCGGGTGTCGACCGGGATTTGAACCCCAGACCGCGCGAGTGGTGAGCGTGGAACTTACCACTACCCACCTCAGCCCAGGTACTGTGATATATGACTCAATATTGAAAAGATATTCGAGAGTGAAATACAACAATTTCTTTAGAGCTACAATAAGTGGACTGGATATCCCCTCCCCACCTCAAAAGCTTTGTAATATGAGCACCCGTTCAAAAAGATCCCTGGGCTCAACCAGCGGAAAGTCGCCCAAGCATATGTTACAGCCACTGCATATAGTCGTTTTCGCTGCAGAAGGTGGGGCGTGTCAGCAGGAAGAGGTGGGATTAGCGCGCAACGCGAGCCCGTTTTCCAGTAATTTATATAACTGTCCTCATAAACAGTTAGTGGAGAACAAGCCAACGCTGCGCCAAACCCAGCCCTCCTGGCATGTCCCAGCGCCTGCAACAAAAACGCCTGCAATAATAACAAAAACTAGTGCACTTCTGCACCAAATGCTACAATCAATAAAGCCCCTCCACAAAATGGTAGCCATATGAAACTGATCAACGAACCCTAAGAAAGGCGGAACAATGTGTTTGCGCCTTTTTCGAAGTACATCCACTGCGAATTCGTTCCTGAAGTCCTGAATGTCCCAGCTCGATTGCACCGATACATCGCATAACCTGACCACATTGATGTCTTCGTCGAAAAGCAGGTACACGTTTCCTCACAACGCTGATATAACCACTCCTGAAATTATGAATGCTTAAGGTCATGACCAAATTTATCGTGCAACACCCCAAAAATATAACGAGAAAGTTCACATTAAGAAACCAAATCGCTTGCATTCTCAATGTGAACTCGTTGCCAATGTTCCTGCACTGGATATCCACGGTTCTTTATACTTCTACAATACATAAAGCGCTGGATCAGCCTGCATGTGCCGCGAATTACTGCATTACCTGAAGTGCCTGGATTGGTTGGGGTGCTGTTCAGCTTATTGTTAGGGGGAGGGGGCACTGTACACCTTCGACAGTTTCTGTTGCAAACTTCTTCCAAAAATAACGCGAGACCAGTGCACTCTTGTCAAGAGTGAACGAACTCCTGCCTTACAGGAATTGACAGATCTCAACAGGAGACTGCCAATCAGCGAAGACTTGTCCACCCTCGGCGGCGCGGAATGTAACTACAGTATTCACTCAGTCCAGAGCTCAAAAAAAGTGGTTAAGGTGAAGGAGATCCAAATAAATTAAGCGGAGTGTGCCACTACTGGACGGTGGCTACCACATAAAAATCCACAATCCGCCCTACGATCCCAATCAGTTCCGAGTTCTGTTTGCAATGGCAGATATAGTGCTTCCATGTCAGGGGCTCTAGTTGTTACCCAGGAATCGCTCGAGTGCTTCCTTCAAAAGATGATTGGTCAAAGCAGCTACTCAAGCGTCATTGGAAGGATGCGCTTGGAGAGTGGTTGGTCATACAGTGGCAGTTGGAGCTTGGCCCAGCGCCTTCTCATCAACTAACCCTTTCTTAGCCGACGCTCTTACTGACTTCAATTGGATTCTTCAGCTCTGACATATGTAACCTGACTCCTGTGAAACAGATCCTGTGGAATACACGACTCCCTGAAATCCAAGAGAAACGCGGAATCGCAATGAACAAGGCAGTCAGAAGGAGTGAGGAGAGACGGACAAAAGTTGTGTGGGCTCAGATCGAACATTAGGACCGAGTGAGAGACGCTCTTCTCTCCACATAATAGCTTGGTCCGAGATCGCAGAGGTGTGCTCTATTTGCGGCTAAAAAAAGGAGTTACAGAGGTATCAAAACTCTCGTTCGGCAAAGTAACCTAACCCAACAGTCGGTGGTAATATCCAGATTAGAACGGCCCTTGCGTTCATAGATGTGTGGGACGCAAAATCATTTGTAGGGGTCATACGTTCCGTCCAGCTCGTCTTTCTTTTCTCTGATCACTTTTCTTCTGTCTATCGCCCGGGCTGATCCTTGCTTCTGCGTGTCTTCAAAAGCAGTGGGCACGATGGCTGGGGCGGGCGGCTTCGCCGGTGTCACTGGTTAAAGGGCTAAGAGAGGGCGCTTGACCACGCCCATCCGGCCCTTCCACCAATGATGCTGGCAACAACCGCCTGCCCCAGCCATTGTGCCTACTGCCTTTAACTTATATGAGGCAACGAAATATCACAACTATGGGTAGACAAATTGACGAACCTTATATTCCTCTTTAGTCTCGAAACGATACTGTCGTATGGCAAAGTTCTGACGTGTTCCTGCAGCTCCTAGTTCTGAGTGTTCAATCATGCAAGTGATAGCAGGCTGTCATGATTAGTGAATCGGCCTCCACAACGAGGTACTGGACAGAGTACCGAGCCTTTTTCTGACTCACTTAACTGTTCAGGTAAAGGAGGCATTATCGGTGGCCGAATTGGCAGATTTTTTGGTGCTTCTTTGCTTCCATCGATTGAATACTCGAACTGCTTCTCTTTAACAGGTTTGGATGACGGCCCTCCGAGTCTGAAGCGTGCTCGACATGATGCCAAATGGTATGCCAACCCAGTTAGCAGAACTAAATCTGAAAGGCAATAAGTAAGAAATGAATTTTGGAGAAGGACTACGTCAATTCCAACTTCATTCTTCATTCGAAAACGAATCAACAATAAAAGTAGCGTAAAGTTTGTTACCCACCAGTCGGACCGTGACAAACGTCGGCGCATACCTTAGCAGCGTCTCAGAACTTCACGACGACTTCAGTCGCGCGTTCGACGCGATCGACGCAGGTGATAGCATGCGCATCGATCGTGTCGAATGCGTGACTGAAGTCTGGACGCTGCCCCATTGAAAGAGCGAGCCGCGGCCAAATCAGTCGTGTTCAGCTAGAGGAACGCCCGCATTATCTAGCGATCTAGCTGTTACTCTAGATCAATACCGATTAAATTTGCACTTATCCAGCTCTACATTACCAGTGGTGCGGTCTCTTACTGTCTATTAACCATGCATTGCCACTGGATCACTGATGATCCATAGATGATCTCTGCTGATCTCGAGCTCTCTCATGCGGCAACCCCTCGTCGACCTCACTACTTTACCTGGAGTACTCTGGAACTGATTGATCAATTTTCGGGTTCGCCTTCCTCCCCCCCCCCGAGGCATGCTACGCACTGGTGCCTTGAGGCACAATTCCGCTTCTGGTGGGCCGAGTCTCTGATACACCATCGTATCTTATGCCTTTTCTTGGGAATAGGTCTGCGACGAAATGTTGCTCCGCCATTCCCAAGATTCTGGGCACTTCTCGCTTTCTGGATAGATTTCGCAGCCATACCATGCATTTTACATTTGTGATTGCTGAATTCTGCTGGCGCATACCCGGCCCGCTGCTCGGTAATCTGGCTTGATCATGATGTGCTGCAATAATTTTTATCCAAGATCCTAAACTCCAAAATCTTGACCCAGTCTCTCCAAGGGGGCTTATTCTTATATATTTCAAAAAATAAAAAATAGACACATCAACAAACTGAACTTATCAAGCGCGCGAACAATTACTAACTGTGGAGAAAGTATAAGGACTGCGGAGAGAGCAAAGAGCTGCGTGAATTTTCATGCTGGCAGCCATGAGAGAAAACGTTCCGAGCACAGCAGTAGCCAGCCAGGCAAAGTCACTTGAATAAAATCGCCTTCTGATGAGCCTCTCTTTCTGATATAACATAGAATAGGATTAAACAAGGAGAGGGAAAGCAATGTACACCCGCCCATAAGGTTAGCGCGGAATGTCCTCTCACATAAGATGAGACCTCGAATAAAAAATGTGAACTCTGTATGGAAAACTGACCCTAATCCGCATCGTTGACACTCAAATACGATGGTGGTCTTCCGATCTATTAACTTCTCATTTCTAATGGCCACTTTTAATTCATTTATCTGTTGATCATTCCAGCCATGGGCGTAGGCCATGTGCATATAAATGACAGTCGTCCATTTACCACATACAGTGCACGTACGTCGCGGCTTCATTCACCTGAAGGAACGTTTAGAAAAAGCACCACGTGTTCAAGTGCATTAGAAAAACTATTTAGTAAGGGTCAGAACACCATCACCCTGCGAGCGGTACACTCACCGTGGGAGCGGCGAACATACTTGCGGACTTAATTGGGGAGAACAAAACTTCACTGTACAGTGCATAAAAATATGACCAAACTATCAAAAACACACACCCTTCGACTTGTTCGAAGTTTTTTGTCAGCGTTCCTTCGATTCTTGAAGTTGTTTTTTTCTACTGCTGCAAATGTATGAGATCTAACTTCGCGTCCCATTACTCATGACCATTTCAGGAAAACTTTAGACCACAAGGAAGCGGTATCGGTCATATTTTTGCCAGCAAATAGGTTTTGCAAGATTTTTCTTGAATTGCAGCCATTCCCCTTTCTTCGAAACGCCAAGACGATTTGCCAGAATTTTTTGATTCTCAATATACACTATTTTAAGAATTTCTCTTCTCGTAGTGAAGCTGGATGACCTCGGTTTGGGGAAACACCCAAATTCAACCCGTCGAGCTGAGTTAGACAAATTATCAAAATCCACCTCACTTTTTGCGTGCAGATTCCCTCTCAGCAGTGAGTCATTGCTTCACGACAAAAATGATCCTTCCTTCTGAAACCCAGCTTATTACGAACCAAATTGCTGTCTGCAACAGAAACGTTAGTCCTTAACATTATCCGCATCAACGCGGTAGTAAAATCGATATTTGATGGTCCTTTTCACACTATAGATTGTATTCAATAACGAAGAAACAGAACTAATGTTATATATTTATTCAAGATCATACTTTACAGAAAAAGTCTGGAATGTTTGGCAGTTTCATGTTACAAAATTCACTCTAACTGATAACGACTTTCGACAAAACTTCATCTGCAACCAACAGGTCATCGCCATCGGTGATCAGGTCTGAAATAGAAATCGATTAATGAGGGCTCTCAATGCAGTTAAACAAATTGCATCATCTTTGTTGTGCTGTTGTGCCTGAAGACCTATCAGACAATTTCTCGAAGAAGGGTCATTCTCAGCAGCAAAAGCGTATATCTGTGACCGCGCAGGGCATATAGCTTCCGCAGGTCGAAAAAGGTCGAAAATGCGCGACAAGGCCCTTGAAAAGCTTGTTGCGTAAGTTCCCTGCATTGATATGGGGCCCCCGGCTGCTTCACTGTAGCTCTTCTCCGATACCTTCATTAATTTTGGTTACGTTCCCTTTTTCCAGTCCGTTGAACTCTCCGACCCGGACGTTTAGTGTCTCAACTTCTCTATACCTCGCCAAAGCACAAAACCAGTGAAAAACACCACTTGCAACCTTTCTGACTGTTTCTTCGGCCGTCTTGCTCTCAAGTTTAACGACTAGGCATAGACGGATAAAGTTTCAGCTGTCCCCAAAGTACGACACGCATTCTACTCCCACTCAGAGTCTCAGAGAGGCCTCATGTCTTCGAGGTCAGTGTACCACTAGAAGAGTTTGTTGACCCATTTCTCGGCCTCGGAGTCGGAAAGATGGACAGTTTGGTTGACGATCGATCCAAGTCTTGAGTCCCGCACCAGGTGTAGGGTAAATAGCCACTGCCTAGCAGTGAACCATCTCCGCCCATAATTCATATTTCGACGTTCTACCAAGCGACTAGTAATTGCAGAATGGCCCCCAGCTAGAGACTGTCCCACTCTCGCGACTCCACAGCGAGCGAGAAGCGAGCTACAGCTATTAAAAGTTCTAGTTCTGACGCCCGCTCAGTTGGACCGCCCACTTACTACATGCCTCTGACGGAGAGCCGCTCAGTTGTTCTTTGTTGGGGCGGCGGGCATTAATCGGAATTGCATGCCCTTTTTGCTGACCGCGCTCGTGCCCATGAATGATTCTGCTCTCCTTTATTACATTTTATTCATAGCACATACAGTCAACTCCAACCCATCTTGCAAGGTAAAACGCGTAAAAATCACGAGCGACCCAATTTTCGTGGTGCAAAAGCTCGACGCACCACACTACACTAAAAGATGCACGCTACCGTAACCCTAAATTCAGACGCCTAGTTTTTGAAGTTTCTTTTCCTTTTCAAGAGTTTTTCTTCCGTGTTTTTGTTGTTTTTCGTATTCTTTTCATTGCATTGGATGATACCCACTACTGGGAGATGTGATAAAGGAATTTGTGAGCCAGGGGTTGCACAGAGACCGCAGGAAGGTGTGACTGCCAGGGAGCGATTTTGTTACGGTAGGACCCCCACACAATTACATATAACGCCCGGCTACAATCGGCGCGCGCTCGCCATGATTTTGTTAAATCGACAGTGACATTTCTCGCTATTTCATCAACAGGACAGTGCAGGTCCAACCTGAAGTGAAAAGCGTGACTGAAAACTGAAGTGAACACAAACTCATTCAATAATGCAATAAGGTTTATCGTAAACGCTCCAGTGCAAAGATGCGCTGCTAGTCGATTGCCGCCCACGCGTTACAATAACGATTATTCAGTAGGGCGCAAGTGGCTCACAAAAGAATTTAGGCGTGAGGTTCAGTGCATTGCAGTAGTCGACCACGGACTCGCACCATATTCGACGCGCGTTACCTGAAGGAGCGGTCGTAGCCGATTTGCCGACATATGCCTTGCGCTGCTGTAACAGAAGCGTGAACTATTTCAGGTATAATGCACTGCAGGAAGTCGAACTAAACTATTGTTGGAAAAAAGCAGACCTTTTTCGTCAAAAAATTGTTATTGAGCTGAGAGGAAGAATGACAGTTTTCGTTCTGTTCCGAAACTAAGGTTTCCATGATTTTTTTTCCTATGCTATAGTCGAATCCTATTCCACTGGATAATCAGAGCACCAGTCGTCCTGGTAACCAGTTCGAATGCGTGACGTTGAAATCAGGCTCAACTATTGTTGCTGGAAATGCGAAAACCATTAAATGGCACTATTCAACTATTACTACCCCAAAAAGTCAAAAAGTCTATGAAGATAGTTCGGTGTCCTAATCACGAATATAGCACTCGTTTTGGGCGCTGGCGCGCCAAATTGGCGCCAGTTTGGCGCCGCCACCTTTCCCACCAAATTGTAAATTTGCATGGTATGGTTATTTGATGTCCTGATCATGATTACCGAGTTAGTTTTTCCTCCCCTGACGCCACTGGCGCTGGCTTGGAGCCACCCCTTCTTTCACATCAAAATTGATAAAAAGTGCACATGGGGTTGTTTGATGCCCTGATCACGAATATGACATTCACTCCAGCACCATTTAAACTTTTCTAAGGCTGAGCCTGTGAGAAAGAGTGTTTTCCTTTAGGTCAGGCCAGCAATACCAGAGCGCAGATAATCACAGCGTCTTCCATCAGCGCCAGCGCCAAAAATGAATGTGATATATGCAATCGAGATGTTAAATGGCCTTCGTATACAAGCTTTCAGCGGATTTAGTAACCTAGGTTACTTCAGCGCCAGCGCCAAATACCCTAGGTCAAGGCCAAGTGGCGTGGCGAATTTTCAGTTCAAATGGTCGAATTACTCTAAAACCCCAGCGTTTCATCGCATCTGCCCAACGTAGAGATAACTCTTGTTTGGACTCCGGCCTGTTCTTTGAAAATGGTTTGTTTCCCAAGATAGAGTGCGTCAAATAAGTGTGAGACCGCAGCCGACAATCGCATGCATTCAACCTCACGCCTAAATTCTTTTGTGAGCCACTTGCGCTCTACTGAAAAATCGTTGTTGTCCCACGCGTCCGTTCTGCTTCATGTATTACAAAAGCAGCTGCTACACACCATCCCTTGCAAAAAATACCAATAATAACTTCGAAGTACATTCCAGACCACCTATGAGAATTGAGAATCTGCGTTGGAAATGAACAGTGGTAGGCAATGGATACCTTAGCAAGTCTCGTGGTCGTAAAGTCTGTAAGGTAGAGACGTCGAGAACAAACTGTACAATCACATCCGTGGATCCTGGTCCATGTCATGTGTAGGTGAATGGGTCCGCAGCACAAGCAAGCCACTTACTGCCCTCAAAAGTGCATGGGAACGGGGTCGGAGGATGCCGTTGCCCGGATGCCATTTGGGACATAGCCCGCACTGCTGCACTGCCTGCCACATGCTTGACCATAGCCAAGCGCGCCACTTGTCTATAGCGCTCAGTTCTGCCTCATCGCTACCGCTGGATGTGGGCTGCAGGATCTTGGTATTGAAGCAAGTGCTGCGCCTTGAGAATCGCGCATTTTCATGCACTGTTTCAAGTGCCGGGACTGGTACATTTTTACAGCTACCGACTCGTTCTTTTCGCATATGGCAAGACCGTCCCCGGAGGTGAGGGTACAGTTTGTCCTTAACATGCAAAATTTCTTAAGTGACGCCGCGTAGGTACTTTCCGTCTTACTCGTTTGTATGCTCTCTTGCTGCTCTTGTCTGGTCTTCTGCCAGAACCCCCAACGAGTCTTCACCTCTCACTCAAGAGCCTTAATTGGGGCCTTGAACATTTTTCTCTGTTTTTCTCCATGGAGAGTCAACCGGCACATGCATCATAATCAAGCTGGCGATTTTTAACCCAGCTGCCTACGAACTTTTCGACAGCTCTTGCGAAATGTACTTCTAACTATCAATTTGGTTTCTCCTCCCATCACCCTCTTTTGTTCTGGAGAATATTCCACCAATTTCACTCACTTGTTCAAAAAAATATAAGTTGTTCATGTATAAAATACCTCTTAGTGGCCGCAGTAGATTCGAAATACTTTTATCTTTGAGCTCAGGTAGCAGGTCATTGATCATGTACAGTTTTTCGCTCACAGTCTCAATCGAGGGATTCTTCAAGTGGCTGGAAAAAGAACTCTGACATCTCCACATTCGGAGGGATGCAAATGAGTATTACCACGGTCTCTTACACCACCGCTGTGATAAATTTAATGAGACAAATGCTCTAAGAAGCTATATGAAGAAACAAACGTAGCGTACAATTTCTCTACGAGCTTGTCGATGAGAATCTGGAGTGTGTCCTCATTATTGCACTGTAGCTGTACATAGCCTCCACTGCACGTTGGACAGTCTGGCTAGAATATATACCTTGATTACAGAATCACTACGATTCAATAAAGTAAGGATTTATATCACTCGGATGAACTCACATCCTTTTCCATTTTCACAACTCCACAATATACTCCTTCAATATCCGTGAAATTAAGGTAATTATCTATTGGTTTGGCAGTGCTGAACGAATAATATGAAAGCATTGCAAAGGTTTCGTCAGAAGAAGACTCACTTTGTAGCAAGTTTTATCGCTTCCAAAGCACAAGACGCAGCTATTACTGCATTTGGTTGAAGCAACCGCTGGGATGATGCGCTTCAGCACACCTTGCGTCAGACGACGATCGACTCCTTTGATACCTACATGAGAATAGTTTTGAACTGAGTACACAGCAATAAAATGAACAATCGAAACCAATTCTACATTGCTCTCAGTGCTGCGTACACCTCAGATCTAGAAAGAGGTTTACAAATTATTTTAAAGAAATTTCTAGATGAGAGCAAATCAACGAATTTAAAAAGACATTATTGATTCCTCTGCTACATGATTGTGAGGTCTAAGACTAAGATTTTCACCACCTCTACAGTCGCTTTCGCAGAAGACGCTGAGGCATGTCGGAACAGCTGGATTCGGCACAGCGCCAGCTCCCTATCAACCAAATCTTCAGCGAGAAACTGGTGGAAAACGAGCTAGAGCCTCCCCAAACCCTTCCCTGAAGACACTCATCAGCGCCCACAGCGGAAGCGTCAGGAAGCTGGCAATGGGACCACAACTTGCGAGCCAAGCCGATATGTTCCACTCAACTTCCCGAAGCAGCTGGGGCTATCTGTATCACGTTT